CCTGTGCTTCTAGGGAAAGCCTCGAGCTGCCATAATTAGATCCTCTGGGAAGGACCTCGAAGAGTCCTTTAAGTGGTGCCCTGTGAAAGGAGGGGCAGAGCACCCCTTGGAGCTGTATGTAATGTACTACACACTGCTGACAGATTTGCTTTGGTTCCTCTAGGGCACTTTGCAACCATTACCTTGAATTTCAATGACAAAGGTGGTGAGACAGAGGTGTGCTTGGAAGGCAAGGGCATTCCTGCCAGTGAGGAGGAAAGAACAAAGCAAGGCTGGCAGCGCTACTACTTCGAGGGCATTAAACAGACATTTGGTTATGGGGCCCGCTTGTTTTAATACTGATCGCTGGGAGGCTCTGCCTGAAGACTCTGCCACATGGACTGATAAATTTCTCGCCTGTTCCTTTCTAATCTTGGCCCTGCCGCTGAGTAAAGTGGGATGACAGGTGATGAGGAAGGCCATGGAGCAGCACCACTTTCAGTCCCTCACTGCTTTGTGCATGTCTTGTGCTGCAGGGGATTCTCTTACATGTACATACTTCTATTGCTAAATAAACCTAACTTAAAAAAACACTGGAATTTGTGCCCTCAAATCGGCTTGAGTTCAAAGGGTTGGTCAATAGGCTGAGGGAGGGATCCGTCTGCAAAAACACTGATCAATGAGGAGTGCTGATGCCAATGTGATTTACTCCTCACTTCTGGGGGAGTAGAGAGTCATGAGCATGATGCAGTTTTTAGTCTGAGCAGCTGCTCATTTTCTGTCTGCTTTTGATCTGCCGCTGGTAAATGTTTGAAACCCTTCCCATTTTTGAGGGGATCTGTGATCCTGTTCTAGCTGTTCCTCTCTTTTGCACATCCCCTTCTTCAAAACAGTAATTTCTAATTGCTTCCACTAGTCTACTCTACAAGAGAGATGATCATTTAGTAACTTGATTTTCAAGACAACCAGCAAACCAGTGCTAGGGAAACTCCCACCTACATAATGGTTCTAATGGTTGTGGGGCCCAGGGTCAGCTACCTCCAGGCCAAAGCAAGCTGTCTCTTACAGAAATAAATCCCACCTCCATTTAGAGTCTACAAAGTGCAGTATTTTTTGCTCATCACACTTCAGCTATTGCTTTAAGTGGTGTGGAACAGAAAAATCACTTGTTTGTTCTTTCCTAATATAGTTAGTTTCTGGAACTATCTTCAAAAGCAATAAATTTGTTTATAGGAGGGGTGAAAATCTGCTCAGAATTGTTAATCTSCTTAACCTCAAGGGTGACAGAAGTGCTTGGTTTTGTTTTTGAGGCATGAGCTTCTCTTGCATACTTTGTTTTCTGCTACTGTTTCCTGCAGAGCTCTTCTAATAAGCTAGAAGAGAGTAATGTTACTGGATGAAATTTAGTGTTTTGGGGATTCTTGGTTTCTTCATTTTTAAAAATCTGAATCGTATGTGGTAATTGTTCCCTTCAATAGAGGAGACAGGGAAAAAAAAACTTTGGTGCCTGCCTGTTCAAAAAAACCCCAGAATGTTGCTGAGTCTCCTTTTAAACTGTAAAAGCATTTTGCCTGTTCTCATTCCAGTATGCTCTCATATTCCAAAGTGCTGAAGTATGAAAAATTTATGACAAAGTGTGTACAGACAGACATCAAGAGTGCAGGATGAACTAAATCCTGTAGTGTGTACTCATCCCTGAGCTGACGTGTGAAAGCAAAGGAAGTTATACAAAGAGGCACTTGTAGATACAGTAGGGTTTCCCTGTATCATGCAGGGTTGTCTTCCCTAAGGCACTGTTTGGGTGGGATATGGATGCAGGTATTTTGCCAGGATTTTTGTGCACAGATGAACTACTGTGTGCACCTGGTAGGCTGGGGGTGTGGATGGGGGAATATGATGTAGGCACACTGATGTCACCATACAGCACGCCCAGTTGGCTTTCTGTTTGGGAAATCCTGGACAGAAATCTTAAACAGGRCTGGCAAGTGAGCTKAAWGCCAAAAATTCAGTCAGAGGAGAGYAAAATTGTTTAAAAACTGAAAAAATGAGCTCATTCTAAGTCAATCTGAGACTAAAGTGACAGCTGAATTGCGATGTCCTTGCTGTGCTTCGGCAGCTGTGCTGGGATAGCAGTGCTCGCCTGCTGCAGGCTCTGCTGCCACAGCTGGGCCAGGGCAGCAGAAGGCAGGCCCTGCTAATCACCTGCTGCTGGAAGGTTAGGAAGTGGGACAGGAAGGCAACTAAGTGGAATTTTAATTGCCTTCCTTTCATCACAAGCAGGGTTTACTTCTGGCATCCTGCTGCTACTCTAATAGGACACACTTTGGCCTTGGCCAGCAACCCGCACACACGGGGCTCATGGAATCAGGGGCTATTCAAGGGCTCTTCCAGCAAAACTGACAACCCTGAGTTAATGCTGGTGCTTCCCCAGCTGGCTCCCTGGGCCATGGGTTGGRAATCGCCATCCCCACAGCAGCAGAACAGGCTGTACAATGTAGCCATGCCTTGGCTGCCATTCACAAGTGARTCTCTTGGACCAAGCTGGTGGCAAAGGAAAGCTTGTGCTAAAAGGCCGGGCTGTGCTCAGGCAAAGCGTGCCAGGCTGTGCCAGCTCTAACAGAGCACAGCAGTGGTAATTAAGGCCTTACACCACTTMAAACGTTTCCTTGGTGAAGGAGATCTGAGCCTTAAGTCATGCTAGAGAAGGTMGCTGCACTACATCTGCCTGCTGCCAGCAGAGACACACTCCTTCAGCTATAGCTGACCTCTGGTGCAGCTACACCATGCTAATGAGAAACCCCAGACGTTAGCTTTGCTTGGAAGTGTTGGGAGACAGAGTTTACAGTCCTTCAGCTACTTGAGGATGGGGGATATATAAGATTAGGGAGAAAAGCAAGGTTCAGTATACTCTGGCCCAAAGGCTCTTTAAGAATCTGACACAGGACAAGAGGGAAAGTCTTGTCAATGAAAGAAAACAAAGGTTAAAAAAACAGAAAACAAGTGAATTTTTCACAGGGATGRAAAGAGGTGGATCTTCACTGACTATGCCTTTATGAGGCACATGGAGATGAGTAAGGAGCAACCGTCAAACAACAAATTAAAGGGGTTTTTGAACTTTTTTAAGACCATAGGCAGTGCTCTATATAATTGTTTTATTAGTAAATAAGGGAAGGCCTAATAAAGCTGTAATGAATTCAGCACATTTTGGTATAGAAGATAATTGGTACCTTAGAAGACAAAAAAAAGAAGTGCCGTAACAGACAAGTTTAGGATTGAAAATAATCTTAACCAAGTGGAAAAATAAGGTCAGCAGAGCTACAGCTAAAAACCTGCAGCATGTTGGGGCTTTTTTTTTCTTTCTAATGTTCTCCTTCTCCAGAGATGTGCCACCAGCACTTTAGACTAATATGGCCACAGAGTAGGGTGTGTCCCTTCACAGACCAGAACAGGGGCACCTGAAAGGTTTGTTTCTTCTCTAGAACTACAGTTTTGACTCAAGGTCCACAGACTATCACAACACCACCTTGCTCTTTCCTACGCTAATACCAGGCACTGCAGCTCAGGCCTGCTCCACAGGCTCCAGCTAAACTCTCGTGGCATTATCATTCTGTCTTCTTCCAAAGGAGATCCTTCTGGACCCAACTGGGCTTTTTGTGTGCTTTCCAAGAAAAGGATTCTTGGAGGTGGAGCCCTCAAAAAAAATCACAGGCATTCAGATCTTTGTTGCTGTAAACATGTTCCTACAAAATGTGAAGTTCATCCCTGACAGATGGGCTGTACTCACCCACCTGCGTCCCAGCAAAATCTGGACACGGCTCCTGCTGTGTGCAGACAAACTCCACTGCATGCCAGATGCCAGGGGACTGGTACAGCTCAGCTCCACACWCAGCTGCAAGACTAAGACAACCAGTCAAGAAGTTTCCTGTTCAAAGCAGCAGGCAAAAGTGCAGTGTAAGACTGCCACAGACTCACTCTGTGATTTCAGGTGACATCTCCAGGTCTTCAGCACCTGCAGAATTAGAGCAGGAATTATTCCTGCTTCTGTCCTCTGGCTGTGGGATTTTTATATCCCAGGAGCTCTGCAGCAGAGCTCAGCATCCAACACAGCTAGGACATTATTGCAGAGGATAAAAGCACATTAGGCATGTTATATTTACAGCACTAACTCCTGACTGCCCCTCCAGGGAGAGTAATTTTCTCTGAGCTCAGCCTGCTCCCCTTGGCTTGGGCTCCATGCAACTATGTTTTTGATGTCGCAGAATGCCAGCAGGAAGCTCCTAGCATCCTTCAGTGAGAGGARTCACCTGCTCACCCCAGGCAGAGGCCAGCAATGCTGCCAGGCAGCTGTGAAGCACTCCCATGCTGGAGCAGCAGATAATCCTTGACACATGTGCAGCCAACACAAAGCAAAAGGAGCAAAAGACAAGGAGGGAAAACAGCTGGAAACAGCAAGAGCTCGGARGTGGTCGTGATTTATGCAGTAAATTAACAGCAACAAAAAGTTGTGATCCCTGGAAAGCTTTGCAAATCCCCCTGCTATAATTAGCTGTTGGCTCTGGAGGTGGTTTGCCAAACCAGTTTTCCAGCTGGGATGAGGCTGGGCTTTTTCCCCTCTGCTTCCATGCTCAACACCTGTTTAAAGTGGTGCGCTGGACCATCAGCCAGTACGCAGCTCTGGCCAGGCTGACCATGAAATAAACACTGAGGTCAGGGCTGAGGCACAGGCAATGCATTTGCTTCTCAACACTGACCCTGAAGGTCTTCTTGGAGGAGGCTTCCTTCCCTGTAAGCAGAACTTCACACGTCCYGTGGCTGTGGTGGTGAGCTCCGGACAGTCCTTCTTACTTGTGACTTTTGCAGCCRGACAACTTCAAATGCAAATGTTAAGGGAAGGAAGCAAAGCCATGAGGACCTCAGCTGGGGCTGGGAACCCAAGACATATAGCATTAAACACAGCATCATCCCTCCCAACCAAAATAAATAGCAACATATGCTTCAGTCCCAACTGAATGACATCAGCMTGACATATACATATATAAAGTGCTTTATTGCAGCATCAGAATAAAGAATTCTCTGTGAAATTTTGTAGGAATAAAAGACATTTTATATATATTATATATAAAAAAACACAATAAACTTAAGGAGTGAAAGCTTAGAGATTCATCACTTAAATAGTAGTGGGCTGGACAGAATATTTGACAGGATACAAAAATAAACGCTTAAATGTCTACTTTTCTCACGATGTTCCGCAAAGCCTCACGGTGTGTAAGGTGCTTGTATGAGGAACAACACTGTTTCTTGTTTCTCATACTCCAGTTCATGCCTGTATTGTCCAAACCAGAGGCAGCGAAGCAGAACAGCGACTTRGCTCTCAACAAGCTTTTGTGGGGGCGGTGGGGAACAGGGGGATATCAATGCAAGATATTTTTCTATTTGCCCTTGGACAGGAACTCCAGTTATTACAGAAATTACAGGTTCTTTCYGGGGGTTAGACTGGCGCTTGACATAGCCAGTATAAAGAGGAGGATGAGGGTACAAACAATGGGTAACACTYTTACTGTAAGAGCACTTTCCTTAGATAACAGCCAATCTAACAAACAAATTGGCTGAGCTTTTTCAAGTCTTTTTCAAGAAAGGCTGTTTGTATAAGTCCTGCTTCCATGCATGGATCCAACACTGAACACTATGCCTGCTCAACAGGAGGTTGCTTTAAAGAAGTCTGCACTGATGGTWAATAAACTCCTCTGAGAGTCTGATGATGTTAATGATGGCATATGGTATGGGAGTGGAAATACGCTCTGCTGATAGGCCACAGTTAACAAACTCACCCTTCCATGGCTGTCAATTTGTTTGCTTCCATGTCTCTTGCTGAGGCTCTCTGGCCCCCAGAACCAAGCCACCAGATCACTGTCACCCACTCTTGACCATCTCTACATGACCCACCTCTTYGCCACAAACTAGCAAGTGAATGACCATCTGGACTAGTGAACATGTAATGATCATGAAAACTTTCCATGGTCTAGGTTTCCATCTATGCTTATTTGGCTCTCTTTCTTCTCACCATTTACAGAACACTGGCCATCTCAGACCACGTGCCTGTTGGGAAATGGATGTCTGTCTGTATTCTGACAGAACCCATATCCAGAGTCTAGGGATACAAGGGTGTAGTAATAGTTAAATAAGAATAATTCAGTGGTAATTTCATTAATGCTTTTGTTTAACCACTATGAAGTCTTAGGTACAGATGACCAAGGATGCAATTCTCTATCAGTAACCAAGGCAAAAAGATCAACATACACTCAACACATATAAATACACCCCCAAAAAGACTCCCCAAAGAGCTTTCAGACCAAGGATATTCACTAATGCTGCATAAAGCTCCTGTAAGAAGGACAGACAGCACAGGATGGTCAACCAAGGACCTCTGCAACCAGATTTTYGATTCAACAGTGCCCAGCACAAGTACAAGGAATAGCTAGCAGCCTTGGGTGAAACCTCTAGTGTAGAAATGACTCCATTCTTCTTTATGTGTGCTTGACTTTTATTTCCCCGGATGCATAAAATTTGTTAAATAAAAGCTATAATATTTTTGTCAGTTCAGCAACTGAATATCCAGGGACAAAGGTGCTCAGCCTAATTTCTCTGCAGAAAAGCTTCCAAAATATGCTGGGAGATACTGCCATAGACCTGTGAAAAGCTGAATGAAACCCAGGCAAGACCAAAGKGCCAACAGAGTGCTTCACAATCCATGATCTGTGGACACCAGGTATTGACATTATTAGCATGTGTGTGTCTTCCTCCTCTGGAGCCACACTCGTGAGTCTGGCCCAGAAATGGGCCTGAGGGACCCATGACTTGGTTTGTCTGGGCTGCCTCCAGGTGGGAACATGGGCAGACACAGCATGGAGCAGGGCCTAGCTTGGCTCAGTTCCTTGCCTCAATTGCATGAGCAGTGGCCAAGGAGCCTCCTGCCCTGGCAGGGCTGAGTGGGAAACACAGGACTTTCTTTTGGGCTGTGTCACAGTGCTCCCGAGACCTTCTGAGGACTGCCAGGGGTCCAAGGTTTAGGGGAGAACTAGTGCTGTGACTTGTACAGGTACTACCACTCTGCTCCCCCAGCACCAAAGCTGAAATGCACACAGGTGGTGTATTCCCCCTGCTGACCTCCTCTGAGGTCCACCTACACGTAGCTTCAGCAGCCAAAATCCTGGTGGCAAGGCACTCTTGCCAAGGAAGCCCAGGCAGTCAGTCTCTTCCTGCCTCAAAGCCCYCTCCCCCAGACCCACCGACCCTGCTAAGCTTTTCCCAGCTCCTTGCCAAGTGTGCATGAGCAAACTCAAGGATAGGGGAGGTGCTGCTCGGTATGGTGGGACAGCCCCGCACTCTTTAGGAAGACCTACCCCAGTTTCGGACATAAACCAGCGTGTGTCGGAGCAGGTACACAGGCAAGAGCAGGCACCCATGCCTGCAGCAGCTCCTCAGACGTGAAGCCAGCAGGAGCTGACCCCACTTCATCCATGCTCAGCTTCTGGGCTGCATTGAAAGGTCACAGAATAAAAGCAGACGACAGYAGCCACTTGTTCCCTTCACACCTCCCAGCCCCGCTGCTCTCCACATGCCAGGCCAGGAGCCCCAGACTGCAGCACTACCCCGGGTGGCATAGCAGGGACTGCACSACAATAACCTCCAGCACCCCCAGAAATCAGAAGGGAGCTGACACATCCCTCTGAGGGGATAAGACCATACGGCACATCCTCCCCGTTTTGCCTGGCACCACTGAGGAGCCCAGGGTCAGGGCTCGCCAGGCTGAGCAGGGTGCAAGCCAGTGGTGGTGGTGGCACCTTTGAGAGTGGCTGTGGCTAGTACTCCTTGGCCTCCTGCAGCTGGGAGAGGTACTCCTCCTCGGTGGGGTTGTCRGCACACCGCTGCCCGTTGTTGGGCGGCCGGACGGCGTGATACCGGCTCCAGTCGCCCTTGCAGAGGATCCAGGGCAGCATGTCCACCTTGTAGTGCAGCTCTGGGGAGAACTCAGTGCTGATGAGGTTGGGGACACCAGCCCCCTTTCCGCGGGTGATGAGGCGGGTGTGCTCRTCGTAGCAGCAGTGCTGGGCAGCCAGGGTGGTGCTGTCGAGGGACAGCATGGAGCGCAGGCAGAAGCGYGCCGTGGGCTTGTAGATGTCCAGGCGCTCCTTGGGGCCGCTGGCATCCCGCCATCGGAAGCTCTTGCCCTGCTGCTCGTCCCGCAGGTTGACGGYGCTGTAGACGGCCTCCAGCGGGTAGGAGCAGGGGCAGCTGGGCAGGTCTGTCAGCACCTTGCTCAGGTACTTGGTGAGGAAGTCGCTCTTGCAGTTCAGCCACTTCTCACAGCTGTCCACCTCTGGGGGAAGGGTACCAAAAGGGTGAGGGCACGCACGTTCTGCACCCCACTTCACCCAGTCGCCATTTGCCTGAAGCCGTGCCAACACCAACCCCGAGGCAGTGACAGAGGGAAGAGATTTTGTGCTGAGGCCAGGCTGGAACATTCCCYCACAGGAGAGGGCCCATGGCAGGCTGGCCTCAGCCACTGAACCACAAAGCAGCACCGTGCTGTAGCAGGGCTGTGGGAGCAGCTGGGCTTCTCAGCGTGACCACTRCAGCCTGCACATGGTGCGGTTCGGGTGACTTAGGCCTGGACACCAGACACAGGAGCCCTTGGCAGAGCCCTCCCCACCAGCCAGCTACAGCCCTCCCAAGGTGTGCCACTGAACCCCAGTGCAAGGCAGAGGCTGACCTGAGTTGAACAGYTCTGTGGTGTTGTCGCTTTTGAAAGGTGTCTCCTCTGTAGGGAAGACCATTTCTCCTTCTGCTCCTTGAGACAGAAAAAAACCCCATAGAGCCAGGCTGAACATCAGGAGGAATGGAGGTTTTCTCCCTCTGTATGCCCACCAGACACCCCCCATCCCCCAGCCGCTCTCCTGCCACTTCTTTGGTAACATGGCCCTGTGTTTGGAAGGAAGGGCCWGCAGCAAGACTGGCCCAACAGACCCTCTGAAGCTGTCAGTTGTGTCAATCCCAGGGGACAGAGCTGGCTCACAACACACCTCAGGAGGTAATTTCAAGCTCTTAGGGTGAGAGAGGTGCAAGAAGTCACACACCAAGCCAGCTCCACAATTGCCTGGGGAGCCATGAAGCCCCATCACAGCTTCTCCTGAAGCACCAGCAATGCCCAGTCTGCAGCAGTTACACAGAAGCCAAGGACTGACATGGCCAGGGGCTCACCAGGGCAGTGTGTCAGATCGCAGGTCCTCGACTCTGTCGCTGTGCAGGCATAGCCACAGGACCGGGTCCTCTTCTGGTTACCGCTGCCACAGGTGATGCTGCAAGGGGACCATGGGCTCCACTCCTCCTCATCTTCATAGTCTGTGCACAGCAGGGAAGAGGCAGAGAGTCATGGATCTCAGCAAAGCTTTAGCAGGCGGAAACAGCCACCCTCAGCTCTGCCTCCATCCCTGAGCAGGGTCAGTTCTGCCTGGGCACACGAAGGTGGCCAGTCACGCAATGCCAAGGATCAACCTCATCCTCACTGCCAGCCCCAGGGCAGCAGCTCTGAGCAAAGGCTCTCATTCTCACAGCTTTGCTCCMAGTCACACCAACCCAAACAGGTATCACTGTCCATCCCTGTCCTCACCAAACCTGCCCAACACACTGGCCATGATGCTGAAGCATCACATGTTAACAAAGGTTTTGGGGCCGTGGCCAGGAAGCGGCAGGAGGGAGCTGCTACAGTGCTCTGGCCCATCTGCCCACTGGCATCTGCCAGCTAGCCCTCTGCAGCTCCTCTCTGRGGCGTGTCCAGGTCTGTGGAAAAGGCTTCTGGCACTGGTGCCACTGCAGGGACCTGAGTCAATAGCAGCAGCACTTGTGAATAAACGTTTACACTGTATTTTACATCTGAGCATGCCTTAGCTAGAGGCCATGCTCCAGTGTGATTACAAGCAAGGACAATTCCTGCCGGGACACTGGCATGTCTGACTGCTGGCAGTTCCAGCTGAGTGCTGGCCTTGCTCCGTGGCATGCTGGCTGATTTTGTAAGCAGGACTGAGCACCAGTGTGCAGGGCTGCGGGCCAGGCAGGACAGGGGAGGGCAGTGCTGGTCTGCAGGGCAGCCGCAGATGTCAAGAGAACTCACCGTAATTATATTTTTCCTTAAAGATCCAGTTCTTCTGCCCAGGCCATCGCTGGTCCCAGTTACCTCCTACTCCACTAAGCATGGACTCCTCCTCCTCATACTCTGCTGTGTAATCTTCCTCTTCATCATCATCATCTTCTTCTTCTTCCTCCCTGTCCCCTACATCCAGGTTGTCATCCTCTTCCTCCTCTTCCTCCTCCTCCTCCTCCTCCTCCCCTTCAGCAGGGTCAGTGTATTCCCAGAAGAGAGGCCAGAACAGGTCTTTGTGAGACAACCACTCAGAGGACGTCAGAGACCAGTCATTGCTTGTCTCCTTCAACAAGTCCATCTCCATCTCAGCCTGAGGATCGTCCACCACTTCAATGGTCACCTGGTGAGCAGATATGAGGCAAGGCAGTGAGCCGGGGCAGTGCCCTTGGACATCCCTACCAGACCAGGCTCTGAGAGGCCAGARACACCCCGGGCTGCAGCACCATATGAGAAGTGCAAATGGTCTCTTCCCATCCAGAGGGACTGCACAGGGATAGAATAGGAAGCACAGAGTGGCTGGTGGTCACCCACAGAGACCAATGCCACCCTCAGAAATGGAGAGATCACCCACACAGGAGTGTTTGCTCCTTCACTGTAGAGAGGGGCTGGGGGAACCAGGGAAAAGGCTGTGAGCAAATTCCTCAGTTGAGGAGCTTCTCCATGCCAGCTATCTGCAGCTGGTAGTCACCAAGAATACAGATGACAGTGGCCACACAGACCCTGCTCACGAGATCTTTCCTGTTATGGAACCAAATGAGGCTGGAGAGCACCACTTTCACCACAGTGTTCACCCATGGCCTTCCCAGATACAGTCCCCACCTGGATGTTGGGGTTCTGGGCACTCAGGTCCACATTGGCCAGCCCCGGCAAGTTCTGCAGGTCCAGCATGAAGGGCAAGCTCTCGTCCCGGCCAGCAGCGCTGGGCTGGGGCACCGCTGGGCTCCTGGCAGCCTGATGAGCCACCCCTCTGCGCCGGTGCCGCCGCGGGCCAGCCTGCCCGCTGCGCCGCAGCCCCCGCGCCTTGCCCGACGGTGGCAGCTCCTCGTCCCCTGCCGAATGGGGGCTGGATGAGGCCGACACCTGGAGAGGGAAGAGTCAGTGAGAGCATCTCTTGAGGGTGGCAGGGCAGGGCAGGGAGCCAATGGCTGCCCAGCAGAGACAGGTCTGGTCTCCCGCACCAAACAGTTCCTCCATCCCATCTTACTGCAGCATCAGGACAGCAATTGCCCTGTTAATCAATCAGTTAATACCAAGTGCTGTGCCAGCACTCAGCCCCACTGCACCTGAACCTACAGCTCTATTCAGACTGGTACTTCCCAGCCCCACCACCACTCTCTGCACCCCTGTGCTGTCCATTGCCCATCTTGCCTGGCTTTCCACTTCTCACTCTCCTGTTTTGGCTATTGCTCGGTCCCTGGAGAWGCGTAACAGCAAGGGCTGCTTCTAGTCACAGAGTGACCGCAGTGACCACAGTGTTTAATAATTTTATATATTTATATTAAAATTTTACAACAAGGGCTTTATGACAAAGGGGAAAACCTCACCCAATAAATGATTCTGTGGTATTGGTATTAGGGCAGATGACTTCAAGCAACACAGGTTTAATTGAGATTTCTGATGCTGCCCAAAGGCTACCGCCAAGACGGAAAGAAACTGTTGGTAGATATAACACAGCTACCTTTAGCACTTTGGGAAAGGGAAGATGTCCAGCCAAACAAGTCAACAAAACTCACTTGTGAGTGCTGCCAGTGGCTCCCAGTACTGCTGCCACTCCAGGGGCAGAGTGCATTTCGCAGGCAGCCTGCAGTCCCAGGGGAGCRGGGGCAGCAGTCAGGGAGCCTCGCTGGAGAGGCAGCACCAGCCATCGGGGGCCAGGGAGGCGGCCGGCGAACGCTGCCAAATGACTGCGCTCGCACCCAGTTCCCACGTTCCTCGTCCCGCACTCAGCACGCACTGGCACGAAAGAGCGTGACTCAAGGGGCCAGCAGGCTCCAGTGTGCCCGAGAAACCGGAGACGGGAACAACTGGCAAAGCYCCCCCGTGGCACGGGCGTCCTTGGGAAGGTCTGCAGGGCCCCGCAGCTCAAGGCTGGGAGCGGAGGTGCCCGAACTCCCAGCATCTCCRCCGGCGGCTGCCTATTTCTGGCTGCCCAGCTGAAACCCCCTTTTGTTCCCAAGCTCTCACCCTTYGCTTCAGCCCAGTCGAGAGCCGTGGGATTAACGAAGAGCGTGGAGTGCCCCCTCCCCACTGCGCCGGGCGGGGGGGACGCAGAGAGGCATTTCTACCTGCAATTAGAGCCAGATGGTTTGGGGAAGGACTCCCCTCCCTTTCATCCTGATCACTGGAGCACTTCAAAGGCAGCTGGAGCCTGGCCAGACTCTCATGAGCGCACACAGCCTGTCCCCAGCCCTGTCCCTGTACATCAAAGCCCACAATTCCTCCATCCCCGGGGGAGGGAAAAGAGCAGCAGGGACACTGCTGGTCCTTTGGCTGCTGCCCAGAGCAGGCTGAACGCAAGGAAGGGCCAATGACAGACTTCACCAGATGGGCCCAGAGAAGAGAGGGCTGCAGAGAGGAGCCTGTGGTGTCTGGAGAGAGCGTTAGGGGCTTGCCCCTCTCCCTGGCCTGGAGGGCTCCGGTGGCACTGCTGGTAGACAACGTGAGCAGACAGTCCCCCGTGCATGCACCTTGCCCTCCCAGCTCCCTCTGACCCCATCCAAAGGTTTTGGGAAGGATGCTTTTGAATGATGCCTGCCTCTGTCTCAGCCTGTCTCCCAGGGCCTCAGCCCCTTGCTAGATCTCCTGTCATGTCGCAGGACTCCTTGGCAGGCAGACAGGAGCCCAGGTGGAACAGAAACAGACAGGGGGGCTGAGCAGGCAAACCTGGCCGTGTCCCAGTGCTGGCTGCATGACACTGCCCGCTGGTGCTGGGTTTGCTGCCAGCTGCACATGCACAGCACAGCCCCTGCACCAGAGCCTGACAACAGCCCTGCCAGGCATCCCTGCCTCATTTGCAAAGAGCTTCTTGGGTTGGGCAAGCTCCTTTCACACACTACCCAAATTGAAGACACATGGAAAGTGAGGTGTCCTCTAGCAACACGATCTGAGCTCATCCAAGGACACAAGAGCAAGCAAGCCAGGAACAGACTCAGAGCCTCCAAATTTACACTCAGTGCCTAATTCAGATTTTACGCCCAAACAAGCTCAAGAAATTCAGAGTACTGTTCCCACAGGGAAAATGTAGAACTGCTCCAGGGGAACTGGCTGAGTGTCGCAGGGGAAATGGAACTCCCTCAGAACCCAGATACTCTGGAGGCATAAGGACAACTGGGATGCTTGCCCTGGATGGCCCAGAGCCCTTCAGCAATGGTCACTGCAGTGCACCACCCAACACRTCCCTCCTGTTGACGTCTGCATCGCTCTGAAGTCTTGCTGGGTTAAAATTTGTCCCTGCATCAGATGTCCCCCCCAAATTAGGCTCAGTGCCCTGGCCCCATCCAGTCAATCCACAGATTTAACAAGCTCTTAGGAGGTCCAGTGCTCTCTCTGAGTCAGAGCATCCATGGATGGCATCAGATGTGTCTTCTCCAAGTCAACAAGAGTCCACTGACAGGCACAGAAGCAGCTGCTCCTATGTCTGCACTCCTGCTGTGTGACAGTCACCTTCTCCTCTGCACTGTCCAAGGAGGAGCTGGATAAAGCCATCAAGCCTGGAGCTAAGCCACTGCAGTGGGCCAAGGGAAGAGAAGATTTTATTTGCCCAAAGAGAACACTATTCCTCTGCTCTCTGTAGAGCCCAGGAGAAACCCTGCAAACCACTGCAGAGCTGGTCAGCAGCAGCTGCCTTCTCCTTGTACCACGATGGAGGAACATTTGCCACCACCCCACAGAAGCAGAGTGCAGTGCTGGGAAGCCATCAATGTCTTGTAGCCAAACTCCAGCCTTCTCCTGCGACCAACCAGCACCCAGCAAAGGAAAAAGCTGAACAAGGAATTGCCACAGCTTCTCCTGCATATGCTTGGCATATATTCCTGGCTGGGAATAAGGGCTCCCAGGGCAGRAGCCCAAGAGAAACTCTGGGGCAGCACTCAGGAAAGAGAAGGGACTTTCCATTTGTGAAGACAGTGTTTTGACTAAAGGCTATGAGCGGGATCACACCCACCTACCTACCAGCCCAGGAGCCCTTCCCACACAGTCCAGGCTCTCCCACATGTAGGACTGACCACCTAAACACCTTGGGGCACAAGCTTAGAAGAGATGTTTGGAAGGGGAAGTAACTTGTTAGCAATTCACCCCGCTGTCACGCCTACTTATGTACATAACATGGGCAACAAGGTGTGTGGAAAAGCTGTGGGAAAAGGCCACATATCATTGCTCTAGAGACTAAAGGCTGACATTTTTCCATCTCTAGTCCATACATCTCTAATAGAGTAGCTCAGAAATCTGGAGATGATGAAGAGAGCAGCCACAAAAACATTTCAAGGGACGGAAAGACTTTTCCAGCGGCATTTGTACAATTCAATTTGTTTGTCATGATGAAAAAAGAAAGCAATGACTTGATTTTCCAGTTCTTTAAGGCAGTAATCCATCAGGCACCAGAGACTATAATCCAGAATAGAAACACATAATAGGAAGCAATGTGCCCAAGTCAAAGCCACACAAWTTTAACTAAGGAATAAGGATTGTGCTTTTTATGCCATAGGTAATTAACCACAGCAACAACTAGCGAGTAAAGTGACAATTTCTCTTGTGGAGACTGTCAAACCCACAACCAGGCTCAACACATGAATACCACAACTGCACTAGGGAACAAGTTCAAGGCTCTAGTAATTTCTTCTGCTCTTAAAACTTGTGATTTTGCTAGAAATGTCTCTAAGGCTTTGAAATAAATCTGGGTTAAGAAAGCAAATGACTGATGTTCATGTGCTGCAGCTCTTATATAAAAATTACTAGAGACATGACAGCTCAGACTGTAGAGCAGTTTAATGAAAACATCAACAGAGTAGTCCCTGTGCTGTCCTGCACTTTGGCAACCAGGGACACCAGTACACTGCCACCTACACARCCACAGGTACTTGTCCCTCCAGGACGTTCCTCAGCATCTCTGTAGGTGCTGCAAGCTGCCAGAGCACCSAGCTGCAGTGCTCTTTGTAACTACRTACAGTGCTGAGCAGAGCTGCCCCTCATCATGGTGTTCAACCAATACAAGAACATTTGAGAGAACTCTCCTGGCAGTGAAGCACTGCTGGAGCTTGTGCATCAGCAGCCAGTGGAGTAAGCAAGTCACCAGCATAGAACAAGCTCCGAGGATGCAGCTTCTACCCACACCTATCCCAAGCCAATTATCGAGCGCACAAGCTCGCTCAGCTTGGACCAAAGAAACCTGTACGCACGGCAGACAGATCAGAGGCAACATTCAGGCTGTGCTTTGGGCTTGTTAACACTGCAGTGAAGAAAATGACGTATTTGCTAAAGGCCGGTATCACACTGAGCTATAATTATAAGGAATGGGGGCTTTTGTTGCTTAATCATTACTGCTTGCGTTAGGTTTCCTTTGAACAGTTTTACCACGCTGTATTGAAACAAGAAACCACCAGAAGAACTATTGATCTTTTCCTGAATAGACCKTTCCTTCTCTTTCCCCCAAGCTCTCTCCAACATTATTTTAAAACGTGTCCGGCAGTCTTGTTGCAAACTCACCCACTTACGAATTAGTACGTTTTTAAAGATTTTATTTTCTTTACTATGAAACTTTTTATATTTATCTAAATGAACTGCAAGGATCTGGAGAAAGTATTTAAAAATTATCTTTGAACTGAAATGGGGAAGGAACAACTCCAGAGCAGGATTTTACTATAAAGCCATGCAAGTAGAGAAGGCTAGTTGGTTGCTTTAGAAGGAAGCCCAGCATGTCTGGGGTTAGCTGTGGGGTTGCAGTTTGCAGAAAGGCTCATGACAATTTTGGGGGATTGGGAGAAAGGGAGGCTTTTCTAGTGCTAGCAAATAACACTGTTGTCTCTTTAAAAGAAAGTAAGGTTGAACAGCAGGGTAATCACCAGGAACAAATGAAGTGCCATGAT